CACTTGGTAGCCCAGGCTGGCCTCGAACTCACAGAGATCTGCCTGCCTCTGCCTCCCGAGTGCTGGGATTAAAGGCGTGCGCCACCACCGCCCGGTATGGTGTCTTTTCATAGCAATAAAAACCCTAAGACAAAAACCTAGAAAGTTCCAGGCAAACTAGGATGAGTGGATCACCTAAAGAAAAGATGAAGAGGGGCTGGAGAGATGGCTCAGTGGTTAAGAGCTCTTCCAGATGACCTGCGTTCAATACCCAGCACTCACATGGCAGCTAACAACTGTCTATAACTGCAAGATCTGACACCCTCATACAGACATACATGCAAGCAAAACACCAGTGAACATAAAATGGAAATGAATGAATGAATGAATAAGTAAGTAAGTAAGTAAATAAATAAATGGAAAGAGTTAAAAAAAGATGCACGCAAAGGGCCTAATGCAATGCTGAATCTCAAAGTCACCTTCTAAATTCAGCTCTCCTGCATTATATAGTGTGTACTGCATCTGTGTACACATGCATACACAACTGCTGGTTTTCACACACACACACACACACACACACACACACACACACACACACACACACACACCACTCCTAGCATCATAAAGAGAAAGAACTTTAAGTGAAAATACAGTTTATCTAAGAAGGGAACGAGAGGGTAGGTTCAAGGGAGCTGGGGAAACCTGGGGTGGAGGCGTGAGCTGTATCAAGCGAGGGCTGTAACTCGGGGATATTACATTTGTTCGTTTGTTTATGTTTATTTTACAGAGAAACCGAAACATGCTTGTAGATTATGCTGTTCAGAGTGTCTCAGGAACCAAGTCCTCAGCGTCCTGAAACTGACAGGTTCCGTGTGTTTCAGGTGCCCTCTTGTGGCTAATGTGCTCAAAAGGCCTCGGAGCCGCTTGAGCTTTGCGGGGACAGAGTGGGCGTAAGCGCCCAGCCACCCAACGCTGAGAGCTTGATTTTCCCTTACTCAATCTACTTCTTTCCCTACCAGCTCTGCTCATGTGCATCCGATTCTGCTGTTCACAAACTAGTTCACTGTCTTTTTGACTTTTCATAACCTCAAGAGGAAAACACATCAAAGGCTGTACGAGATCCATTTAAGGAAAACTGAAACCCTGGAATTTCTAATTGCACAGGGTCACAATGTGGGGTCCTTTGCCTGCAGCCCCCTTTTCCTTTGTTCGGTATTGTTTTGCAGGAGACCACAGAGTTGAACTAGATGCCTGCACTAGGCCAAACCCATCCAAACCATTAGCTAAGTTACAGTAAGTGATTTTTATCTAATTGCAGAGGCACAGTAGCTAGTTAACTGAGCTGTAAGAAGCTAGTAAACCTATAACCAATTGATGGGTGGACTGTCTAGGTTGGAGTCAATCAAGTCTTTTCCATGCTTCACTCTGCTCCTGGATATGCTGTCTGACGACGTTTTAGCATTCACAGAACCTGTTCTGGGGTGGAGGGATCCTGATTCTGGGAATCACTGTTACTGTAGGATTTTTCGGATAAACACCATTCAGTTAAACTTGTCAAGATTTCTTGTCGGTTTGCTTGTGTGCAATCATGTTTGTGTATGTGGTGTTAGAGACAGAATCCAGGGCCTCTCAAACAGCAAACTGATGAGTTATAAACCCCAGCCCTAAGGACTTTTTATTTTTATTTTTTATTTCTTAATGTCTGGGAGAGAAAAACATTACTAGAGGCATGGGTGAACCGGGGAGTTTGCATGTGAAATGTGCAGCTGGGCTGGATTCTAGCTTGCTGCTGGAGTAGATGGCCCCCTGCTGTAACTACTGAGGCCAGCTAACAGCTGGCCTGAGGAGCACACTGGGGAGCCAGGGGAGGATTACTGGAGTGCAGTTAGCTCCCCTAGCTTGCCAGGCAATTGCACAGGACACAGGGCAACCGCGGACATCAGCCCAGGCTGCTAGAGTGATCCCATCTGGCACTGAGCAGCTGTCTAGTGGAACAAGTTTTGCAGATGACCTCCACCTCCTTGGTGAGCAGAGTAAATCAGTCTTTTTTTTTTTTCTTTCTCTCTCTCTTTAAGAGAGGGTCTCGACAGGGTCCTATGCTCAGTGCATGAGTTGGCTGTTTGAAACCTGGGGCTTATGCAGGGACGCTTGGCTCAGCCTGGGTGGAGGGGACTGGACCTGCCTGGACTGAGTCTACCAGGTTGATCTCAATCCTCGGGGGAGGCTTTGCCCTGGAGGAGGTGGGAATGGGGGGTGGGCTGGGGGGAAGGGGAGGGGGCCGGGAGGGTGGAGAACAAGGGAATCCGTGGCCGATATGTAGAACTAAATTATATTGTAAAACAAAAATAAAATAAAATAAAAAAAGAGAGGGTCTCATTCTGCAGTCCAGGCTGGTCTGGAACTCACTATTTAGCCCAGGCTAAACTCGGACTTACCATCAGTCTTGTGTCTCAGCCTTCTGAGTGTTGGGATCACAGGCCTCAGAGGTTTGGCTTGCCTGTGCTTTAGGAAGGCTTCGGTCTCCTCTGCAGCAGCTTGGTGCTGAGGCAGGAAAAAGGATTCGTGCCTCTCTGCGCACTAGCATGCACACAAGGAAGCCTTGGAACTACCCAACACCTTTCCTCCTGAAGGACAGAGGTGAGAAAAAAAAGTTACTTACCTGCAGAAATCTGTTCCTGTTCCAAAGTGGAGGCTGTGAGGGTTGAAAAGGGGGAATTTTATTTATTTCCATTCATTTCAGCTGTTTTAATGAACCTTACACACAGAGAGAAACACACACAGGCCATTTGGAGGGTCCAGGTAGATGGTGACTTTGGTAATGGACAAAGATACTTATGACCAGGATAGGCTGGGACAGTCATGGAAGGCAACTGTGTCCTCCACAGAGAGCTTTCAAGATGAGGCAAGCTTCATCAGAGCTGAACACACCATTGCCTCTGGATCCCCCATTTGGTTCCTGTCCAGATCAGAGGTGACCAGAAATGATGGCCATCTGTCCACTATTTCTTAGGCTCCAGCTGGGGCCAAACAGGCCTGGCATGTCCCACCAACCCTGTCTCAACCCTTAGGGCAGAGAGCCATGCTTGCCTGCCTCTCCTTCTCAGGTTGTGGAGGCTGTGTGCAGGATCACTTAAGTAACAGAATCAAGCACTCATTGACAATCTCCAGCAGTAAGCATTGGACTATGGCTCTTTGCATATGGTATCTCAGAGAATCTTACTCAGTGCCGTGGAACAGACTGCCATACTACAGGACTATAAGCCAGGTGGAGACTAGTGAGTATAAGATTTGGAGGTGTGGCAATGCTCTGCTCTCTCTGAAGGCACTCAAGAGGTAGATCTCTCTTGGCTTCATAGAGTTTAGCGTTTAATTCCAGTCTTCAAATGGCATTCTCCCTGAGTGTTTGTCTATCTCCAAATTCCCTTTTTATGAACACATTAGTCGGGCTAAATTAGGGACCCATTGTATTCCAGCAGTGTCATATCTACAGTGACCCTGCAGGGAGACACCGTGGGTCTTGAGAGTTAGGACTCCAACACAGGGTTATTACAGATACTCAACTGAATCAAATAATACCCCCCCACACACCAACTAATAAATAACAGATCTGAAGCCTCAAGGAGTTACATAACCTAGCTGGTCAGAGGCCAAGCTGGCACTGGAACCCAGGGCTGTATGATTCTAGAGTAGAAATCCTTTCAGATCCCAGTGAGCAAGGGGTTCACCTGAGGGCTTGTCAGGTCAGCCTGCCGTGGCCCCGTAGATCTTCAGGAGCGGCTGGTCTCAGGTAGGGCCAGAGCATGTGTGTTTCTGAGAGTTCTGTTGGACAAAGCTGTTGGTCCAAGATGGCACTGCAAACTGCTCCCCCAGTGATGGCCACTGCGAAGAAGTTACCTGAGAGCTTGTTATTTATGCTTTTAAGCAGACACTATAGCTCATTCCCAGGACTTCTGATTTGGTCTGTCTGGGTGGGACCCAGGAATCTACTGTAAACAAGTAGATCCTGAGCCATATGCTCATCAGTCACACTTCCCACAGATGGGGTCCTCTGCCTGTGTCTTGGGATCAACTAGGAAGCTTCCAGGGTGCCCTGCACTGATGCCCGAATCCACCTTCAAGGAGATTCTCATTCTGGGAGGTATGCCGTAAATCATTGTTATTTTATTTGTTTATCTGTTTTAGGTTCTTGTAGGTGCTCAAACCTGTACAAAAATTTGAGATCTCTGACACAATGCCAAGCCTGGTAAAAAGCTTCCAGAGGCCTGCTTGCGGAGAAAGTCAAGTGAATTGGAAGTGCCTTTTCCTTTTGGACAATAGACCTCACTGGTTGCCACTCTGCGGTTCCTGGTATCCGATACCAGCTAGGGGAGGGGCCTGCCTCATGCTTGCTCTGTGTGCTGTGTGCTCTGTCAGTTTGTGTGTGGCTCTTCCTGAGCTTTCCAGCAGTGTAGTACCCTGTAGCTTCGGCAGGTGTCAGTGTGGTCAGGAAAGTGAGCCTGCCACATCCTGGAGCTTAGACAGCCACAGCTTAAGAGAGCAGGAAATAGCTGTAAATAATCATAGTTCCCAACTGGACCAAGATGCAGGTCCTGTAGCTACTTGCCAGGTCTCCCACAGATGCTGTGTGAGAGGCAGAGCCCCCGTTGCCACACAGAGACAGGACCCCAAGCAAATCCTACCACGCAGAGCAGGTCCAGAGCTGGTTCGTCATGAACGTACTGAGATCCAGTGTGTGGATCAGGGAAGGGAGTGATGGTCCATTGTGCCTCCTTGCTTGGCATTTTGATCTAAGTATGCCCAATACTGGTGTGTGTGTGTGTGTGTGTGTGTGTGTGTGTGTGTGTGTGTGTGTGTGTGTGATATGAAGCGGAAATGGGTATGAAAGGCACAAGGCCAGAAGCTAAGTTGTATACAGTGTGCACAATCACCAGAAATGGAATGTGAGCATGGAAAATTTAGTTCTCACTAAAGTCTGGCCAGAAACATTCTATCCTGTCAGGAAATTTAAATCTAAAGAACTCTTAAGAGGTCACCCCAGAGGACAGGCTCAGAGGTGTCTTTAACTTAGCACGTAAGATCACTCACTGCCTTATGTTGAAGTTCACATTTGAAGGAAAAGAAAAAACTTAGAAGTTTTCTCAACTTGACATCAATCCTAACCGTTTATGTGTTATTAAGAATAATGACTTAGAGGTGGGGTGAGTAGAAAGATGGCTCAATGGTTAAGAGCTTCAGGCAGCTAGCTTGCAGGCACCTATAATTCTACCTCCAGAGGTTCTGAAACCTCCAAGAGCACCTGTGTGCATGCACACACACATATATATATATGTGTATATATATATATATATATATATATATATAATTTTTTAAGAATTTAAAGAATGCTGAATTTTTATTTGATGGCATAAAAATATTATAGAAGAATGTACACTCAAGATATAGGAAACAAAACTAGTGGTGTGTGGATCAGATATTTACTACATATTTATGATTAGCTATCTACCTTCCTATTTTAATAACTAAATATAATTATGTATATATGATGTCAACTATGGACTTGGTTGTGATATTTGTCAGCTCATTTTACATTTTTAAAATGATTGTGATTTCATTTCTCATTTTATAGCCACTTTCATTCTTCCCCCATCCACACATTAAGGTTCTGCCTAAGACGAATGAAATATAAAGTAGCTCCTATAGCCGTGTGTAGCTAGAGTTTTCCTGCCTTGCCCACAGCAGGACAAATCTTTGTCACCCGCCAGTCCCACAGCCGCTCAGACCCAACCAAGTAAACACAGAGACTTATACTGCTTATAAACTGTATGGCCGTGGCAGGCTTCTTGCTAACTGTTCTTATAGCTTAAATTAACCATTTCCATAAATCTATACCTTGCCACGTGGCTGGTGGCTTACCGGCGTCTTCACATGCTGCTGGTCATGGCGGCGGCTGCAGTGTCTCTCCGCCTCAGCCTTCTGCTTCCCAGAATTCTCCTCTCTCCTTGTCCCACCTACTTCCTGCCTGGCCACTGGCCAACCAGTGTTTTATTTATTGACCAATCAGAGCAATTTGACATACAGACCGTCCCACAGCAGCCGTGGTTTTCAACTTGTGGGTCACGACCCCTTTGGAAGTCAAATGACCTTTTCATAGGTGTTGAATATCAGATATCCTGCGTATCAGATCTTTGCATTACAATTTATAATAGCTAATTGCAGTTATGAAGTAGCGATGAAATAGTTTTATGGTTGGGGGATCACTGCAACATGAGGAACTGTATTAGAGAGTTGCAGCATCAGGAAGGTTGAGAACCACTGTCCTATAGGAACTTTCTTGATGAACCATGGACATACATTATGCACTTCCACTAGCTAATCAGCAAGAAAAGGAAGAAAACGCTCAAGAGAGCCAAAGCTGTGGAGAGAAAGAGAGCTGGGGCTGAGCAGGCTAAGTGGGGCGGGAGATGAACTCCCAATGGTCACCAGCTAGAACCAGTAAGCAATGTACAGTCAGACACACAGAGCCTGCGGGAGGATTTTTTAACTCTCTGCTAGTCCTGTCCCCAAGAGCAACAGAAGCATTTGTTTAAATTAAGTCTTGCTTAAATTATAAGAAGATGAGCTAATTTCCAGTGTCAAGAATTCTTGAAACAGAGCCACGAGGCGGGGGAACACTCCCTACAGTACTGTAGGGTGGGAGCGAGTCAAACATTTGGCTACTGGGATTTCTAGGAGGCTGCTGGCATGGCCCCATGTTGAAAACAGTCACTCTCTGAGGTCAGCCACTCGGTCAATATTGCAGAGCCAAGGCCCAGCCCCATGACATATTCAGCATCTTTAAGAGAATCCAATTTTTAAACCCCACAAAAGTAAATGTAAAGAAGAAAAGGTAGGAGCTAGAGGGTTTCTCTGTGAATGGCTTCCTCACTACTCTCTTTTTAATTGTGGCTTTTATAAAGATCTTTGAATTAGAAATCATTTTTTCAAACAAGCCATCTATAAGATTTAAAATATAAGGCGGATATGGTGGCAGTCAATAGGTGGCTGGGGTACAGTCAGAGTTCAAGCTCATCCTAAGCTATGTATGGACTTTGAGGGGAGCCTGGGCTACATGAGATGATGTCTCAAACAAACAAAGCCTAAAAATTAAGACAAAATTGACCCTGCTTATATTGAAGTATCCCAAACAGACAGACACAGATAGAAAATTGGAGTCTCCTGGCATTGGAAACTCGATAGCTAAACTTTTAGATTGATAGCACCGAGTTTACAATGGCCTATCAGAGGAAAGGAAAGGGCAGAGACCACGGTATCTAGTGGTCTGGCCTCCTCCTCTAAAGACTCTCAACTCCTCTGTCCCCTGGAAACAGCTCGTAGGGAGTCTCCAGGCCCTCCCAAGCATCACCAGCCAATTCAAGGTCTGGCTAGATGGCTTCCTTCATACCCACTTGCCCAGCTGTGCTTCTCAAAAAATGCTTAGAGGCTGAGCCAAACCAGATTTTTTTTTTAATTTTAAATTTTTTTTTTTTTTTTTTTTTTTTTTTTTTTTTTTTTTTTTTTTT